GGGAAACGCACCTTCGCAATTTCAAGTCTTCGCCAAGTCGACTAATACGCTAGATCCGAAGTCACCATGAGCGTGGATCTTCAACCAAGTGAGTCACGAGGCTATTGGAGGCAGCAGGATCCCGATCTATGGTTTAAAACCACAGATCATGAAGTCACTCCGGAGATCCAAAGGCCTAGCAAGATCGTGGAGTGTCGACAGTCGACGACCATGGATCTGCTACCAGAAGAGTCCCGTGGTTACTGGAAACACCATTCATCAGGCAAGTGGTTTCACCAGGCGAAGATCACAGGCAAGATCCACAATGAGAAGGCGATCTTACTCTTAGATACCGGCGCCGAGGTGTCCATCGTGGACACCGCCTTTGCTCGTAAGGTTGGGTTCTATATCGACTCGAGCCAGATCCAAGACTGCGTGGGAATTGGAGATAATGTGTACCAGACGGAAGGAAGAACTGGGATCAAGGTGACTGTCGCCGGATCACTGGTGTATTTCTTCGATATCTGGGTGGGTGATCTGACTGGCCAACAAGCTATACTCGGCATGGACTTCATGGTTCCAGCTGGGTTCCGCCTGGATCTAGCCCATGGATCAATCAGTTTGCCGGACGAAGTCCGGATCCAGCTTAGCGGAAGGCGGCAGCTCTATAGTGACAAAGCGAAGATCGTCAACGTCGGCCAATATCTTCGGATCCAAGCAGGAGAGAGGGTGGAACTAGCATTGCGCCTGCGGTCGTCGATCTACGACAAGCTGTGGGTTACTCGCGGAGATCAATGGGTGTCGACAATATCCAGTGGACCAGGGCGGGCGAAATACATCTCGATCACCAATACTGGAGACGAAGTGTTGATCCTGCATCAAGACCATCGGATCGGGATCTAGCTGGCTGGGGACCATGTGCCGCGAATACCGGGTTTTATCTCGATCGGCTCGCGTCGTTACATGGAGTGGCAGAATCTAGTGTTGGAAGCTATGACAGACACCCGATCCGAAGAAATGGAGGTCAAGGACCCGCTGGCGCCCGCGGTAAAGCGGCCCGAGTACGAAACTCCGCGCGCAATACTCCAAAGATCGAATGCAACGTTGATCCAGCGTCGGAAAGTCGAAGCGAGTCAGGATCAAGATATTCCTGACTGCCCACCCTTGGACGAGTCGTCGTCGAAAAGTCACCGTCGGAGATGCGACCGTTCGATCGAGCGTCTGTCGCGAGTGAGGAGTCGGATCTGTCGTCTATCGCAGACGGAGACTCTATATCGAAAGCCGTAACGGTCAAGGAGGCGCTGGAAGATCTCGATCAAGTGACGCTGGACATATGGGCGACTGATCCGCTGGTGGACAGACATGGAAGGAATGCAAGAAGAAGATGATCGAGATGAAATGGAAGATGTCAGTCTGGATCAACTACATTCGAAAGGCCTAGATCAAGGAACATCGCCATCGAAATGCAGCGGATCGGATCTGCCATCAATGATGAGTGTACAATCTGGGACAGGACATGTGACCGGTGATCCACTGAACGACAAGTGCGCCACATCTATGTTGCACAAAAACGGACGTGGATCCATCAACTGTTGTTGAAGATCAACAGGGCACATCGGACCTGGACCTTACCTGGGAGTCAGATCAAGATTATGATGAATGTGTGTATTACCATCAAGGAAGCGATCTATACGCCGAAGGCGTCGATGGTCATATGGCGGTATTGCCGGAAGTACCTGTGACGACGGAAGATGTGAAGATCGAAGACATTCAGCTCTGTGGATCTGATAATCAGACTCCAGAAGAAATTGATCGACTTCGCCAAAGGATCTGGAAGTTCCGACATCTCTTGATCGACAAGGGGAATGCCCTCCCACCAGCGGCTAGAGGTGTGGTGTGTGATATCGACGTCGGGGGAGCGAAACCTATCCCTCTCCAATGTCGTAAGCTGCGGATCCAGTTCAGGGATAAGTTGGCGGACTTGATCAAGAAACTATTGTCTGCCAAGATGATCAATTACTCTAGATCGCCATGGGCTTCCCCGGTCGTGGTGATCATTAAGAAGAATGGGGTGGATATCAGGCTATGCATTGATTATCGGTTGGTTAATAGTCTAACACAACTGATGGTACACCCAATACCCTTGATCAACGATCTACTCGAAGATCTGGAGTCGACACTTTGGTACTGCTCCTTGGACATGGCAAGTGGATTTTGGGTAGTGAAAATGACGGACCGTGCTCGGTTGATCTCGGCTTTTATCACTCCCTTTGGGTTATTTGAGTGGAATCAAATGCCTTTTGGCTTGCCCCAGATCTATCAACGTATGATCGACAACGCGTTATATGGGTTCACCCGGATCCCGAAGTCTGAAGATCACGGAAGTGTGATCGAGTCGAGGGGTTGATCGAAGCATGTGATAAGTGGAATCTGTCGATCAGTGTGGTAAAACGCTTCTGAGGAATGCCTAATGTGGAATATCTGGGTCATAAGGTCTCACACAACGGACTGGAGGCGAATCCGAAAGATCTGTCCGCGTTGACTGATCTAGCCTTTCATGGATCACTCAGAGCTATGCAATCATTTTTGGGAAGTCTGAACTATTATAGCCGATTTATCGAAGACTACGCGATCTACGCGTCGGTTCTGTACGAATTGCGAGAAATAGACTTTGCTGCGATGACGAAGGAGGCTACCCAAGCGCGGATCCAACAAGTACTGGAAGGGGAGGACGCAGATCAAGGATTGCAGGAAGATCAGGGTGTCGACCACCGAAAGACCTTGGATCTGGAGGCGCCCGACCTTACTGAGGTCGATTCGCAGTGGATCCACGCCCATCGGTCTTTCAACGTGCTTAAAACGAGGATTGCTACTACTCCGATCCTACGACATTTTGACCCAGATCGGAAGGCCACCGTGGTTGTGTACGCTAGCGATTGGGCCATCTCGGGAGTGTTGATGCAAGAATACCACCAGATCTACTACCCCGTGACGTTTGCGAGCCGTACTCTGAAGTCG